TCGCATTCTCACATGAATATAAATAGCTCTTTCCAGTGAGTAATTTTAGAATTACATAAAAATGAAAACGAAAACAGGTTAATGCGTGCATGCAAGCAAATAAATTACTTTGTAATGATTCTCATATCGAATTTAAAAAACAGTACAACTTATGGAGGAAAAAGATGAGTGCGGATTATAAGTAGATTGCGACAGTGATATTCAAGCAATGTAATTTTTCGGCCCTTGCGACCATCAACAGAATTGCAGTTCTGCCTAATATCGACGCAGACCTCTATGAACCTAACAAAAGCCACTACTCTTTTAATATTAACCTCCTGTCTTATTGTATTTTGATTATTTTATCGATATATCATTATCCATTTAATTCATTGAATGGTGACATTTTTGCCGTTAGAAATATCATCGGTGTGACAACTTAGACGTAATTGAATTGCACGATGATCCGTTTGGCACATTTAGTCAACGTGCATTTTTAAAAGCCGTTTAATCTTTGTGTAGAACTAACGTGGCTCAATGAGGGCGTCCTATTAACGAAAATCTGTTTTAATCTTCACACGTTTGCTTGATCGTTTGGCCTGCACAATAAGGATGAGGGGTTCGGTTGTGGCACTACCACCACGCATAAGGATTGGGAGCATGCGTTTGCTTAATTTTCAGCATTGCCGCCACAAGGCGAAATTAATGTATGTGCTTCCTAAAGCAAATAGTAGTTTGCCTACGGAAAGATTACAAACAACCAACTGAAATTTATATTAGGGAAATAGTAGGTTGTCCATGGGGAGAGTATCAGTCTCTGATGGGAATTAACATTACTGCTACATTTGTTCTAGTTAAATTCACCTGTGCGTAATGTATCACCTCGTTGATGGCATCGATGCCTGAGGTTCATCGTACCGAGACAGTGCATGAGCACACATTGCTCTCTGCACCACACGCACACTAGCGAATTGGAGGAGTGGCTCTGGATAACGCCACAGTTGTGAGTTTAGAGTTACCCCTAGACAAATCCATGTCAGTAAATATGATCTCACCTCAAGTCATGTGATGCAGTGCATGTAGCAAAAGCAACAGTGGGAAATGTGGAAGAAAGTGTAATATCTACGTATTGCGCACTCGCATATGCAAGTTTGATATGTTCCGCAATTTGTTGCCTTGCAATTGGAACATTCCGCATCAAAACTACTCAAAACATGTCGGTGGATTAGCCTGCATTTATGTAAAATGTTAATCATTCCTCTTGGCGATATTTGGCCAACGCATGTTCATTTAGTGAAACTGGGGATTCCAGGCTGCAAGTTAGAAATGAGAACTGTGGGAAGTCCAGAGTCC